TTTTTTTTTTCCTCTTCAATTTACATTTAACAACGTCTGTTGTCGGACACATGCAAGGTCAACATCTGGAACTACACAAGGAGATTTCATATGCTTATATCGGTTATCTGTGCACGTATTAAAATATGTAGGCGTAACGAAGCAATTTCATACGGATATGTCAGAACGAGGGAAATAAAGTTTATGAAAAAAAGTTACACTGTTTCACTGAACAGAAAAAAAAAAGAAAAAAGAACAAAGCCGAAAGTGAGATTTCTATCTTGGTTACCGAAATGTCACCGACCTCACCGTTTTGTACGCTTCCTTTAATTAAATTATTTCTCTTCTAGGTAAGTGAAAACACAGTTTAAAAAAACAAAAACAAAGACCCTACGCTCCACATTTTGAACAACAAAATACTGCATATCTACGTACAGCTGCGATTAAGGAAGGTCAGTATCATGAGAGGCTAGCTGCCAGAGTTTCAGGAATATTGGCTCCGAGTTGATCCCTTTCTGAAAGTCTAATTTAAATTCATTTTTTAAATCTAACCACTGAACGCTCATCGCGCTCGCCGCTTGGTTGGTCACGTCACGCTTCCCGACGGGTCAGTGGGGAGAGATGTTCCTTGTTGGCTGCCGGAGTCTCCGATCCGCTCTGAGGTAGATGCGGCAGAAAGGCAGCATCCAGCCTGAGCCGAGTCAGGGCCTCTCCTAGTGGGATCACTTGAGGTCAAAGGTCAGCTCTTAAGTGTTAATTGTTGTTAAGGCTTCCTGTGGTCTCGCTTCAGTCACTCTCCAGTTTCAGGGGCTCAGGGGGGGGTGGGACACCTACAAGTTCACCTTTGTCCCGTTCCTATATTTTCTTCTCAACCCACATTCCAGTCTTTAAAGGGGCAGACAATTATTTTAGTTAATCTTTGATGGTGGAAAACAAGATTATCCAAAATGAAAAGGAACAGAATCTTCTCCGTTTGGCACCTCGGGCGGCTGTGGTAGGAGGAGGAGAAACAAAACTAACAACGAGGACGAGAGAGAGAGAGAAACTGTGGATTAGGAGGGGGAGCGAGTGGTGGTGGTGGCGTGGTGTGGAAACAAACTAGTTGGGTTGGCTGCCTTGGTCGTTAGCTGCCGACGAGACTGAATCCGGTGCGCCGGCCGGGGCAGGCTCTTCTTCCGACTTGTTGCGCTTGGCTTCCGGCTGCTCGGTAGGCTGGTCCCCGTTCTGCCGCTTGGTAGGGAGGGAGGCCGAGGCGGAGGCGTGGGCCGCCAGCAAGTGGAGGGGGCTCGCCACAGCTGAGGCTGTTCGGGGGAAACAAGCAGGAAGACGAGGGTTAAAAGAGGAAACGCTTCACTGTTGAGCTGTGGTTCAATAACATCTAGGAGCAGAAGGCCTGTGGGGAGTGTGGTTTGGATCAGCTGCCACAAGTGAGCACACCAAAAACCTTTTCAGATCCAGAGGAGGCAGAAAAAGTCTCTGCTGCTGGATCTCGTGTTTAACTTCAATTTGTGCGGTTTGTTCAAAATAGTTCTCATTTATTAGCCTTTGTGAAACCCAGCCCACTTCCCCCTCCCCCGAAGCAAGCTTTATTCTGATTGGAGGCCTCACTAGGGATCGCTCCCTCTTGATGCTGTGGTCGTGTTTATAAAGATGATTTAACAGGTTTCAGTAAAATAAGCGTAAGTTTATTTTTATTTTGTCCTCTAACATCCAGATGTTAAAATCCAGAAGGAAAAGAATAGTTGCTTAAATGTCCAGTGACTATTTTGGCACAAAAGCAACAAGAGAGCATGCTTGTTTCTAAGCTTCATACACCATACACCACCAGAAGTAAAAGCAATAATGTCTCAGCTCCATCCAAGCATCTAAAACATCTGGACTTGAACCAGCCTTGATGTCCCTGCTAAGTGTTCCTGTGTCTCACCTGAGCTGGAGGGTCCCTGGATGGCAGTGGTGATGCTATGGGTGCCATTCTGTGTGATGGCCTTAACAGGCAGCTGGTGTTGTCCCATGGGGGCCTGCTGAACTATGGTAACAGTCTGCAGGGGGGTGGCTGCTTGGGAGCTCTGGATGATCCGACTGGAGGGACCTATAGAGGTGATGGTAGGAACCGTCTCTACTTTGACTGAGGATGAGGAACACAAACACAAACGCCGGCTTTAGTGGTGGAAACTCGTCACAAGTGTTAGAATGAGGTATGAGCAGGGCTCAGTCAGTGTAGTGACACCAAACAAACAGAGTGCAAGTGATCAGATCTGCTGAGGCGCTCAGTGTTTGGGGTTTTCAGAACAACACCGAGGTGACTTTCGTGAAGCTGTGCCAAATCCTGGGGCTTCCCCTCAACCTGTAACGCTTCCTTTACCTTAATTAACACGACACGTTTGATCATGTGACTTCAAACAACTGTCAAAGTTTAAAAAAAGGCAGAATCTCAGATAAGACTGTCAGATTTTTGAGACATCTTCTAATCAGATCACTCGATCCGATTAGAAAGTTGATGCATTCAAATATACTGCAACCATGAATGGCAGCAGCAGCTGAATGACTGGTTTGCTGCTTTTAACCAAGTGAAACTTTGGAAGACGTGAAGTCTGGTTCAAGAAATATTGTCACAGAAAATAAATACAAGTTTGTTGAATTTCCAAGCTTCTAAACTCTTTAGCTCTTGGA